AATAAGTCAATCAGAGAAAGACATGTATCATATGACCTCACTGATATGAGGAATTCTTAATCTCAGGATACATACTGAGGGTTGCTGGAGTGGTGGGGGTGGGAGGGATGGGGTGGCTGGTTGATAGACATCGGGGAGAATATGTGCTATGGTGAGCTCTGTGAATTGTGGAAGACTGCTGATTCACAGATGTGTACCTCTGAAACAAATAATACATTATATTTTTTTTTAAAAAAAAGAAGGTAGCGGGGGGGGAAATCAGAGGGGTAGATGAACCATGAGAGTTGATGGACTCTGAAAAACAAACTGAGGGTTCTAGAGGGGAGGGGGGTGGGAGGATGGGTTAGCCTGGTGATGGGTATTAAAGAGGGCTCGTTCTGCATGGAGCACTGGGTGCAAACAATGAATGATGGAACATTACATCAAAAACTAATGATGTAGTGTATGGTGATTAACATAACATAATAATTTAAAAAAATAAATAAAATATGAATCATTAAAAAATGAGATATTTCACAGAAAAGGAAATACAAATGGCTTTTAAATACACAAAGTAATCTTCAGTTTTGTCCTAATGAAACAAATGGAAATTAAAACTATAGTAAGGTATTTTTCACTCATCATCTTGGCAAAAATCCAAAAATTTGATAATGCACCCTGTTGACAGGCTATAGGAACACAGGCTCTGATCCAAGGCTTGTGGGATTGTTGAGTGGGGCAGCTCATGTGGGGCTTAGCAGCAGGAAAACATGAGTCTCTGTTGACCAGCAGTTTCACTTTTTTTTTCTTTAACATTTATTTATTTATTTGAGACAGTGAGCAAGCATGAGCAGGGGGAGGGGCAGAGAGAGAATCTGAAGCCGACTACATGCTGGGAGCAAAGCCCAGTGCGAGGCTCCATCTCTTGAGACTGAGATCACGGCCTGAGGCGAAACGAAGAGTCAGACACCAAACTGACTAAGCCACCCAGGCATCCCTTGGCAGTTTGACCTCTGAGAAGTTATTCCATAGATATCCTTGCACATATGCAAAATGACATATGTGCTAGTTTTTCACTGTAGCATTATATGACTAGAAGTAAAGATTAGAAATAACCTAAATATCCATAAATATGGAACCAGTTAAGTAAATCATGAAATATCCATTCAGTGTAATATTGTGCAGCTGTGAAGAAGGAATGCGAATGCTCTTCATAACCTGATAAAGATCTCTGAGGTATTTTGTAAAAATGAGAACAGAGGTAGAAAACAGTATTATGTGCTACCTCCGTGCATCAGAGCAAGAAAATAAGATTATATATTCATGTTCCTTTGTATTTTTATAAAGAAAACCTTGCAAGGACATACTAGAGTCTAATGACAGTGATTACTGGGTGGAGGTAGTGAGTTGGTTGGTTGGAGGAGGAAGGGTGGGGAAGGTTTCACTGCATTACTTCTATGTATATTTTTACCTTGAACCATCCAAATTCAAAAAACAAATGATTTGTATAGAAAGACATCAAGCTAAGGCATCTCAAGGAATTTATCACAATCAGTTGTATATGGCTGTATCAGCAAGTGGTTGCCTGGTTTGCTTACCCATCAATAAAGAAACATTAATCACATATCTTAATATATGTGGATTACTTGTTTATCTGAAAATTGTATGATTTACTATTACACAAATTGTATTTTGTACCTCAAAGCCACAGACCAAAAAAGAAATTATAAAACTGTGTAATATAAAAATGAAATTAACAGTATTTATTTTAACAGTTACAAACAAGTTTGCTCTCATTAAAATATTAATATACATTATCCTTTTTTGAAAGCTTGATTCAGAGCTTTATGTTGCTGTTATCTGAAGTTTGTTTTTTAGGTTCAGTTGTAATGGTTGTCATAGCCAGGATGACTGAGTATCCTGTTTGTCTAGACCTTAGGGTGCTGTGACTGACTAGGTCAGTCTGGGGAAAACTGGGGCAATCAGGCACACTTGTCATAGCTTAAGATCTATCCCAAAGATATATAGAACTAACTTGAAGAAATGATCATTCGCCAAACCTGCTAAGTCATGACTCTCATTTCTCAGCATCTCCCATCAATTATGTGAAGGTTTTTGTGTATTTCATCTGCTGAATTTTCATCTTCTCTGATGACAATCAGTTTTTCTTGGGAACCAATCAAAAATATTGCATATTTATATTTCAAAAAGTAAGTTCAAAACCCTATGAAACCCTTCATTTGGAGGATTCTGAAATTGGGAAACTGTTCCCAAATGTTGTAAATGTATAATTGTGAGAGTTTGTGTAGGGGGCATACATTGTTTATGGCCACAAAATTATTTAAATGAAATCCATTTCTGGATACCCATTAACAAATGCTCTTTGCTATTCTGAGTATCTTTCAAAAAGAAGTTATCCCCTTAGTCTTTGTTAGGTGGTCAGCCTTCCTTCCAGAGTTGCTACAAGAGTGTGTCTGATGAATTGCTTGCTCTGTAGAGAGAAACTCTGCCATGTTCTTGTTGGGCGCTTGTGCTGTTTGTTATATTCAGTCTGTGGTTTTTTTCAGAGAAATCCCTTGAAGTCCGTTGTCTCTTCTCTGCAGGTCAGTTTGGCTAAGATTAGATAGTGTAATCTTGACTGAACCTTAATAAACTGTCCTAGATGCCAGTAGGCTGAAGGACGTTGGAGGGCTTGGCTCTGGTGTGGACTTGCCTCTTCCATCAGCCTGCCTCTGGCATGACTGCCACCCCAGGCAGCAGGGGGGCTCCCTTATCAAGTTCGGTATTAACTGTTATTGAACCTTAGTCTCTCTCCTATTTTAGCCAACAAAGAATTAAGACCGTAATAAAGGATGCCTCCCATGTCTAAATGATCATTGCATGCCCGCTGGAGTTTGCACACCACCCGAGGGCACTGGCAGCTGATGTATTGTCCCCGTCTTTCCAGTGTTTTTCATGGCTTGGCTTCCTGCACACAGAAAAGTTTGTTTCCGGTGTATTATCCAGAAATATGGTCTAAGCCATGTTTTCTGTGTTCTAGGAGCAAGCTGAGGAAGAAAAGAAGCCCAGGGATGGTGCAGCCCCGTTGAGTCACGGTAATCATCACCATCTTTTACAGTTCTAGTACACAATGAATAACTTTTAAATGAAGTTTTTATCAGATAGCTTTGGTTGTTTTAGGTTTATTAATTTTAAGTCTATAATCATAGTATCATTTATTGACATTGAGTTACTTTCTCTCCTGTAAACTTTATCAGTCATCTAGGATTTCTGAATAGGTACATCAAGAAAAATTCTGAAGCTCTGACCTCATTTATTTGCCTTTTAAAATGTTTTAAGTAAAACAACTTCCAATTTGTAAACCTTCCCTGAGAACAAGACAATAAGAGATGCTACTTAGTTTATTATAATTCTTTGCTTGAGCTCTTCTCAGAGTAGTTTAATCTTCTAATGATTGCATTTGTGCTCTTCCATTGAAGTCATGTTTTAGAGGAGATTGTACATTTGCTCTAAAATGAATATCCCTCATTCTGGTTATTAATACACCAATAAGTTTTAGATAAGAGCTTTTTAATATTCAGCTAATTTACTGATGTTTTAAATTTATTATTTATTTATTTTTTAAGAGAGCAAAAGGTGGGGAATGGGCAGAGGGAGAAGGAGAGAGAGAATCTTAAGCAGGCTCCATGCCCAGCACGGAGCCTAACACAGGGTTTGATCTCACAACTGTGAGATCATGACCTGAGCCAAAATCAGGAGTTGAATGCTTAACCGACTGAGCCACTCAGGCACCCTTCTGATGTTTTAAACTTAAATCAACAAATGCAGATGGTATTTTCCTGGAATATCTATTCCATTATTTTATGATTATTGCTACACAAGTAGACAACTGTTATTAAATTTTCTGTAAAATGTAGTTGAATGTCCCAACATTTATGCTACTCTCCGTGGGAAGGAAGCATATACATTTGATAAATATTTTCTAATGATATTTTAAAAGTATCTTAAATATTTGTTGAATAAGCTTTTTTTTTAATAAACAATGGAAACAACTAAAAATACCTTGAAAAAACGATAAGCAAAATTTGAGGTTTTTAAAGACCATTTTATATTGCTTAGTTTTGGGACAAAATACTGAAAATTTGTGATCTTCCATCTAAATGCTTTTAAAATAAAAGTTGTTTTCTGCTATAAGCAAAATATGCTGCTTTAAATTCTTTTCTTCTCTTGCTGTCAGCCAGTCCCATCATGTTCTTTGCTGAAAAAGCAAAATAGAATGCAGTAATTTGGTAATTATGTAACTTGATGTTCAGCTCCATTGAAATACACTTTAGTTATGCAACACTGGAATTCTAGAAATAAATTTGGATTGTACCTGGCCCTAACAGTGGGGCTTTTTTAAACATTATGTTTTTCTTGTAAGAGAGAGGTTGTGATTTATTATGTTGTTTTTCTCCTCTGCAGCTATATTTTCACACAAATGCAAATTGTTTTAGATTCTTTTATTCCATGGTTGTTGCAACATTTATTCTAGAAAAAGAAGACACAGTTAGGCCAACAATTTAAGAATGTTCGGTCCTCAAAACTAAGATTTTTTAGTAATTTAGTATTTAATAGTTCCATTATAGCCAAATATATGTTTATTGTAAATAGTTTTTCAGTTTTAATAGAAAGTGGCTTTTTGCTGTTGTTCTTCCATTGTCAGACTAGTTTTTATGGTCAGTGGTCCATTCTCAAAAGTTTCACCCGTGGTTTATTCTCAAATCTGAGGTTGTTGCTGTTTGCCTCAACTATTGAACATAGCTCCATGGTTAGAAGAAGGATGGGATTTAGTTTGTGCATATAGATGCAACAAAATGCTAGTGGAAATGGAAATTGAATTATTTGAGGGGCTTTTGAGGTACTGCTTTTAGTGGGATGAAGGAAACAGTTCCCTTAGTTGCCTATTGTAATAGTACAGTGCGGATTTTCTTCCTATAATTTCTGAAAATTGTTTAATTTTTCTTCTCTAGGCTTCTTGCAAAACAAAAAAAAAAGATTTAGTCACTTACCTATGTCTTAAAAATAATAACAAAAGGAAAGCAAAAGAAATGTATACATACATACTTATATGTGAACAGAAAGATTGTGTTGAAAAATAAACGCTTAATTCTTAGTCCTGATTTTACAACAAGGAAGCCATTTCTTTGGAAATCATTACAAAATAATTTATTAAGAGCACAATCTGTGCCACTAATACTGACTCCCGTGTTATAGATGATGAAGATTTGAGAGGCCCTTTGAGTTCTTTAGGGTAAACAACTAGTGAATGGTGGATCCAGGATTTGAACCCACATCTAGTAATTCTAAAGCTTATGTCCTTTCTGCTGTACATGTTATTTAATGTTCTCCCTTCTTTGTAGCTATTAAGACAAAAGTAGAGAAAATGAATCTTGCTTAGAAATGTGATGGGAAAGATAACTGCTAGTAATTAAGGTGCTAATGCTGTGTAATATAGCCCTCTGTGTCCATGGGAACTGGCTGAACTAGATTTTTCCTGACATAGTCATGCCCTGAGATTAATTTTGTTTGGTTCTTTTGGAAACTCTCTCAGCTACAGTATTCCTGGTGATTCAAAAATTTTAACAATTGTCTTGGATACCCCTAAGAAAAGGTTTGTTTTAGTAAGTATTATTTGTTAATAATTATTTATGACTGAAGGTATCCAATTAGTATTGTCAATCACTCCGTAATCCCAGACCTCTACATTTGAAGTCTCCAAGATAAAAACAGCTAATTTCTTCAGACTGATGAGTGATCGGGCTTTTCCCCTTCTAAATTTTAAGTGTTCTTTTTAACTAATGCTAATACTTGTTTGGTTGAGTGTTGGGGCAGTGAGGTCTTTATAAACTTTTAAGAGTAGAAGAAATTATAAAGGAAAATGAGATATATACACACCCAAATTAAACTTTGTACATCAAAGAACATCATAATAAAAATTAAAATGGAAGTAAACCAGCAAATATTTACAGCTACTGACAGAAGGTCCATACACACAATGGATTTAGAAGAAATAATGAGATACACTAAGATCTCAGTGCAGAAACAGACAAAAGACATGAACAGGCAATTCATGGAAGACAGAATAAAAGTAGCTGAAACAGAAATGTCTTACTAGAAAGCCAAGAAATACACATTTAAATGTAATGATGAACATTTTTTAGCCTCCTAATTAACAACAATTAAAAACATGCTGATACCACTTGCTGGTGGGCTGGGGGAGCTGGCTGTCGGGATGCTGCTCTTGGGAGTGCCAGTTGTTCCATTGTTTTGGGGAACATACTGATGGCATTTATTGTTAAATAAACATTTCCTTCAACTCAGGAACTCCACTTTTTGGAATTTCTCCCAATGAAATAAGCCATCTACATTGAATATATGCATATGATATTCATTGTGGTACCAATTATAAATGGAGAAAGGTTGGGAGTAAGTAATGTAAATGTCCAGTGAATTTGGAATAGGTAAAACATTATGGTACAATTGTGTGTAGACAGTTGTGTGGTCACTTAAGTGCTTTTGAAAAAAATTAAATTAGGGTGCCTGGGTGGCTCAG